TGCTGCTGCTGCTGCTGCTGCTTGTTAATGTTATTGTCGTTCTTGTTTTTGTTATTTCTGCTAGTTGTTGTTAACTACTGTCATTGGTGTTGTTTGTTGCTATGTTTGGCAGTCGTGCCCTTGTCATTAGTACTGTTATTGTTATGGTTATTGTTCTTGTTGTTGTTGCTGCTTCTGTTCGCGGTTATATGTGTTATGACTATTGTTCTTCTTACTGCTACTGTCATGACTGTTCCGACTGCCTTTATATTAATAATGTTGTTGTTGTTGCTGATGATGTGGTCGCTGTATATAGTTTTTGTTATTGTTAGTGCTATTGTCACCTCTGTTTACTGTTGCTCTTGCTGGAGGAGCAGCTGCTACTGCTGCTGCTGCTGCTGCTGCTGCTGCTGCTGCTGCTGCTGCAACCGGTGCTGGTGCTCTTGCTGTTGCAACCGGTGCTGGTGCTGGTGCTGTTGCTGCCGATCTTGCTCTTGCTGTTGTGGTTGTGGTTGTTGTTGTCGTCGGCGTGGTATTCAGATGAGTTTTTGTTCTTTTTTCAGCAGGAGGGCTGGACCTTGTTCGTGCCAATCGACTTCGGAACGGCACTGGTTGTGGACAATGCCGTCATCATGGCGTCAGCTTCAGTGGTCAACAAGCATGCTTTTGCAAGTGCTTGTCCTTGTTCCAAACTGTTGCAGCCCGATAACCAGTGCCAAGATCCACCCAGAAGGCTGAAACTGCAAGCTTGACCCCCTAGACTCAGCCCAACTTCCCCTCATCAGCCTGGGATGCTTCGCAGAAAGTGAGCTGAGCGCCACAAGCCCCCAGCCCCCCGAAGTCTCTGGCATTTCAGATTCAAACCAAGGCTTCCTCCGTGCAATCGACCTACAGCTGCTCAAGGTGCTTCCGTTATTTCTCTGTTTGGTTTGTTGTTGTCTTCTTTGTGCCTGCTTCCTCGAGAGGCCTCGAATAGTTGGTTGCTCCCCATGTCACTGAGACCCCCGAGCTTCAAGAAACCACTATGTAGTGCAGTCAAAGTAGGCTTGTTCAGTAGTGATGAAGATACAGTTGCTTCACACAGTTGCTGCTTTAGATAGCGATGGCCCTTCGTTCTTTTCTACAAGTTCGGTGAAGGATACCTGAACACTCTGTCTGTTGACAGTTGTAGGCCTTCCAGATCGTGATGCAAAGGTGGGGTCGGTACAGATTGAATTCCTCGTGCGTGAAGGTGGCATGTACAGCATGTAGCTAAACCCTAAACCCATGCACAGCATGTAGCATACCCTCGTTGCAAAAAGTTGTTGAACAGCCGACTTTAGAGCAGAACGGGCAGCAGACGAGCTCATAAACTGAAGACCAAAGCTGCTCTTTCGCGGTATCAATACACAACTCTCTACAAGGAGTATCCCAAGAGTTTTCTTGTAGCCAGTTTGAAGTCACGAAACATTACTTCAAAGACCTCAGTCCTCATGGATCACAAGACAGTTTCCTGCCCCGGTTCTTGGGCCAGCGAAGGTTTGGCAAACCTTCCGATACAGCGACAAGCATCTCTCACTTGATTTGGGCATGTCCTTGGAGCCCTGGTCTTAGGGTTCAGGTTTAGGAGGCACTTGAGAAACCCCGTTCAATAAAATGGGGGGTGGGTCCAGATGCAGTTTTGGGTCGACGAAGTTACACGGCCTTCCACTGCATCATGGTCGCCAAAGCCCAGGTTCCGTTCCAAGCAATTCGGGACGGTCCTGGAGCAGTTCGTCTACTCCCTGTCGCTGTTTTTCCGCGACACGGGCCTTCGCGACGATTGGACGGAGGAGCTCAGGGGGGTGCAAGACGTCATCAGGCAGTTCATCGAGATCCTCGACGGCATTGTCAGCGCGGGAGAATGATCTCGTTTTTTGCAGCATCTGACTCCGGTGGGTGAGGGCCAAACTGCCACCACCACCACCACGACGGCTACTACTACTACTACTACTGCTACTACTACTACTGCTACTACTACTACTTCTACTACTACTACTACTACTACTACTACTGCTACCACTACTACTACTGCTACTCTGCTACTACTGCTACTA